CCTGCTGAAAATCCTTGAAGTTCCCCCCCAATTGAATTTTTCCCTAAAATAATTGGTTTGGAACCAATACACACAATTCTCTAACCAAAATGCTCTAGATTACTTGTCATCTTTGGCCACATGGGCCACATTGGAGATATAGATGCAAAATGTCCTATGATATTAGCATGAATGTAATCTTACAAATATGTACTACAACTGATCAGTTAGTCTGGATTATTGGATATGGGTGATGAAAGTAATTATTTCAGATTAACTTCATAAACTATATCACCTCTTGCAGAAAGTATTAACAAATTGCTTGTAATCATGACCTAAAGCAAGTGAATCAGAGCAGACTCCCTTTCATGTACTTTCATATAGACAATACATCTTTAGCATTCCCAGTTAGATACTTTAGCCATATGTTGGTGCTTGGGAACCAGTGAAATTTTCCTCAATAGCATATTTCATCTCATTATTTTATGTGTGCAGGTTAAGAAGTCAGATCTTTCAATATTAATTATTGTATACAGAAACTGAAGGTAATTGACTACATTTTCATACATATTGTTGGAGCATGTAATTATAATCAGAACAGGCCCTAATTTCTCATATTGAACATATATCTAAATAAGGGTCTTTGGTACTTTTAAATAGGCTGCTATAATCATTAGGTAAATACACTGCTTTGATAATGAGCATGCATATGTATTCACCAAACAGCATTTCTCGAATTTACTGTGAAAACATATGTCAATTAAAACACACTCATATCATTGTTCATATAACAGTAACAATAAGACCAAAATCAAAGATTCTTCAAAAATTTTGATGTTACATTCACCACTCTGCCTTTCTCCTATCACTATAAAAATAAAACAAAATCATAAACTGCTCTCCTTTGAGGATCTCAAAACAAACAAAAGCTCTAACTTTCATTATTCCAATAGAATGAAAACTAAAATTTAAATCTGGCTTTTTAAAGTAATGACTTACAATTAAAATTCTTTTTTATCTTGGCTTACCTAAGGCATTCCATACACATGTTTCCAAGGCTTATATTAGTTTGTGGGTGAGGACTGTATGCATAAGGAGTGATATGTCATGATTTCTTTTTGGTATTGATTGGAAATATGATCATTTGTTCTCTTGAAAAATTAAATCATTTTTGAATGTTCAAAGAAACAAGGCTCAATACAACATTTTGTTGATATTTAATATATAAGATTTTCAAGGGCCATAAATGGCAAACAAGAAAATTATAAGCCACATTCTGAATTTTTTTCCATTGAGGTCACCTTTGAGAATTGTGCTACAATCATCCAAAATATATCAGTCCAGATGTACTATGAGCTTTAAAATGAGTATCTCCATAGCTTTTAATATGTTTTTTGAATAATTTGTTTTTTTCAATGCCAGGAAGAACTAAATATGATCTGTGCCTAAATTTGAATTTTCTGGAAGAAAAAAATGAAATTGATTCTTAATTTGTTTCTTAATAAGGGAAAGGGCTTTGACAGCAATTGTTTGATCTCCTGACCAACTAATATCTCCTTGTTAAACTATTTTTTTGGAAATAAATTTCAAGAAATAAAACTATTTTAAAGAACACCCATATATTCTTTACCCAGGTTCATCTATTAATATTTTCTCCCCTTTGCTGTCTTTCTTGATAGATTAATACCATTTTTTTCTGAACTATTTGAGGGTAAGTTGCATTAGTCATAGCCTTTTAACTCTAAATTTTTCATCATGTATCTCCTAAGAATAGGGATATTCTCTTACATAATCACAAATTCATGCCTTTTAATTGAATTTGAACAATAGGAGATAGCTTACCATCTGCAGTTTCATCACCTCCAAAATGCTGTCGGTAGAAGAGCATCAATTCAATATTGTAGCATTTGTAGATGACCACGAGCAGTACAAGGAGGAGAAAGATTGCTCCCAGGCCTCCTGCAAGTTCAATTTTGTAGATTAAATCTGGAACAAATAAAATAAACAGGAAAAGGTAATTAAATCAGCAACACTGAGGAACTTCCCATATTTCTAGTCTCTAAGATGTACAACCCATTCTGTTTTTCTTTACAGAAGATTCTTACTTAATGCAGTAAGTAGATGCATTCTTGATACATTTGTGTAAATCAATTTCTTGTTAAATTAACTCTCTTCTAAATATTTGAAAAAATTTACTGTTGAAAGTGATGTCTATCTGAAAAAGAATAGTCTCTCCCACTTTGTTTTGAACACATATAGACCTCACATGTATACTTTTGCTTTAAGTGTACTTCAGGAAACTATTAGAGCTGTCTTTTACTGGGTTCAGGTCCAATATTTTGTTGTTTCTGTTAAATTATCTTTTGGCTTAGCAAGATTACAATCTAATACTTCTTAGGCCACAGGCCCTATTCTTCTATAGGAGAACAGCATCATAAAATTATTCTCAGAATCAAATAAAATCCAATAAGCCTACAGGATTTAACTGTTTCATTTAACCACAGTAGAACATAATCCAATAGAAGGTAGGCAGGGGAAATTAACTTATCCATTTCCCCTACTTATCTGAATAAATGACTATAATTTGTATGTGATATAATATGCCCAATGGGGCTAAAAGAGAATGAGAAATCTAGGCTAATCACTTGGCCTATTCAGCCAACACCAGGTTACCTGAGGCAGCCTTAGGCTTTTCCAGTGGGGCACCCCTAGAACTCTGAGAGTTGGAACAATTAAATCAACACGTAGTGTAAGGAGACATAGTATATCCTAGGCCCAGGAAATAGTGACTTACATGTAGCTTAATTAGTGATATTAACAAAATCTAGGGTGTATCATCAAAAGAGGGGATAGCATCATGGAATTTAGAGAAAGGGGAAGTCAGAGAAGAATTTAGAATATGAATTCAGCAATGTCCAGAGGAGAAATGCTGAATCTGGAAGACACTAGACCAGAGATATTTTCCACTGTGTGACAGGGAAATTCACTGGTCTCAACATAATACAGATAAAACTATCTTAAAAATTAGCTAAGCTCCCCTTAATCTAATTCCATAATTACCAAGTGATTCTTTTATTATTAATTCAGCTTACCATGTAACTACAAACTGAAAAAGGGAGTGGCATTTTAGTTTGTACATCAGTTGCTTATGAGTTTGCTTGGCATCAATCAGCCCCCCTGGATGGATCAATTCTGGTGTACTGCCAAAATCAAATTGATGACAATGACAGACTGCCATTCTTGAAGGTCTCTTGACAATAAAATCATGAGCCTTTCCCTGGGATTGTCTCTTGTCTCTATATAGGCTTATTGCTCAAGATGAATTAGGCTCAGTATAACAATAAGATTAAGAAAAAAAGATGAACATATATAATATATACTACAAGTAATGTATATTATAGATAAAATTTTCTACCAGTCTACTATCTATTCTCTAAGTAATCCTTTAGGGCAAGAATTGTTGGTCCAAATTCATCACTGAAGAATCTAAGACTCAGTAGTTTAATTCACTTACCCAAGGTCATACACCTAAGAAGTGGCCAAGATGGGACTTGAGCCCAGATATTCTAACTTCATATTTAAGGTTCTTTTTATTACACCACAGTTTTGTAAGCTCCTCTGGAAAGTGACGATGAAATTCCTTCTCCCTCTTCCTCCATAGAACTGTTGGTAATGCTTTTCAAGAACATGTGACCTGCGGTGAATTTTGGATTCTTCTGCCCTTTCAATTCCAAGGAAAGAAGCTAAACTACAATTGACAGGCAGAATGATAGGACCGAGCAGATCTCAGACAGTTTATTGGAGGGTATTGAAGAATTCTGTAGCTATATCAAGACGGAACGAGGGGCTCCTTGGAGTCCAGCATATGAAAAGTTTTAGGTTTTGTAGGGAGATAGAGAGTTTGATATTTTAAAGGAGGTGGAGTAATAGAGAAGATGGTAGTGGCCAGAGACAGCATGGCCAATGAGGAGAGTCACTGAGGAGAAATGTAAGAAATATAAATGTATCCTTTTTCAGTAAGGAGAGAGGGAGAAGGATAGAAAAAAGAAGGGAGTGAAGCTGTTGTGAGGGACAAAATATATTAATAAGGAGCATTATGAGGGGCCACATAATGAGTAGGGATAGGAAATTGGAATCTATCTCTGTCATGCCTACTGCAAGAGGCGGTCATTTGGAAAATTTAGCCACAAAATTCCAGGTAAAAATAATCCTACCTCATATTAGCTCTGCCTCCTGCCCTCCCTATAGAAAATGACTCCCCAGGAACCACTGCCTGCCTCTATGTGGGTGGTAAGGCAGGCTTGCTTATGAGACCTCTGTGGGGCTACAGTATCACAACCTTTGCTTGTTTTCTTACTGTTTTATCAATTATGCATTCTTTTTTTATTCAAAAAAAAGAATATCAAGTGTCTTTATATTTTTTTAACATCTTTATTGGAGTATAATTGCTTTACAATGGTGTGTTAGTTTCTGCTTCATAACAAAGTGAATCAGCCATACATATACATATATCCCCATATCTCCTCCCTCCTGCATCTCCCTCCTACCCTCCCTATCCCACCCCTCTATGTAGTCACAAAGCACCGACCTGATCTCCCTGTGCTATGCGGCTCCTTCCCGCTAGCTTTCGGTTTTACATTTGGTAGTGTATATAAGTCCATGCCACTCTCTCACTTTGTCCCAGCTTACCCTTCCCCCTCCTCCTGTCCTCAAGTCCATTCTCTATGTCTGTGTCTTTATTCCTGTCCTGCCCCTAGGTTCTTCAGAACCATTTTTAAAAAAAATTCCATATATATATATTAGCATACGGTATTTGTTTTTCTAGCCAGTGTTAAATTGACAGGTCAGTTATGATTTTTTTTTGTTTACTCTGAAAACTGAATTCTCTTTGATCTTAGGTCATTGATTGACTTGATTCAACATGTTTTTCCTGTTGTAAAATATTAATTTAATGTTGTAATTTTGTTAACTCTCTGTCTCTGTCTCTCTCCCTCTGTCTCACTCTCTGGTCAGAACAGCATTCAACTGTTTTCAAAGTCACTGAATGGGATTTTTTCCCAGCAATTTCTATGTTATTTACAGAGTAGAGTTGCTATTAGGTAGATGGAAAACTTCAGCAGCAGGAACAATTTGTGCTCCCAAGTAGCAGACACCTTTTTCAGCAGTAAATATATGGAAGAAAACTGTGGTGTGAAAAGTACCTTTGTGGTTTTGGGGTCCATTTTATAAAAATATCTTTGAAAGATATTACCTAATGATGGCTGTTTACATTGAAAACTGTGGACCGAGTCCCTGAGACTCAACCAGTATTCTTTGATTCAGCACAGGCAGTCACATTAAAAGGGAAACATGTATCCTATAATCAGAGGGCAGAATTGCCATCACCCAGTTGACACCTAGCTTTTCTTTTGTCTTCTGTTTTCAACTGCCATTTTCCATCTCAGCAGGATCTATACTTCTAGGGACATTTCCTGACTGAGAAGGTGGAAGTCATTTTATTTGGACTGTGTCGTGTATACGCTTCACAAGGATAGAGATAGCCAGTACAGCAAATATTTATGGGATTGTAACTTTTTCCAGGCACCCAAAGTACAAGTGTAGTTCTTTTTAACCTTCTTAGTTTGAACCCAGCTAGTTCTTCACTTTGAACATGAAGATCAGACAGCATAGAATGGGACAGATAATAGGTGAAGTCAAGGGACTGGAGAGCAGGAAGACTGGAACTGTTCTGAGCTTGCTCATAAGTTGGGAAGCAGGTTAGGAGATCCCACCTGAGGGTCTCCTATACAGGTTGGGGGTTCAGGGTGGGGCAGTAGCACTAGGAATGAAGAGAAAGAGAAAGTCATTGATATGTCTCTGTTTGTGGGAAAGGGAGTATATACGGAGAAGGCATAATTATCAGAATTTTCCTAGCATTAAGTTCAGAGTCTTCGTTCACCAAAAAAAAAAAAGAATGAATTTCTTACTAAAATGTTAGTTGTACTTGTTGGCAAATAGTTCATTGGAGAGTGAGGGCGTAGCAGGTTAGTAAATGAAGGTAGAAGATGCATAGGTAAGAGACATCTTGCTTTGAGAATGCCTGACCCTGTTAATTGCATATATTAGACATGAGTTTTCATTTTACGAAAGGCCTTTTCACTTTGTGAAAGGATTCATGAAATGTTTCTTCTCTATAATGATCAATGATTATGGCATTTTTGATATTTGACTTATAGATCATCAGGAAGTTATTGTTCCATAAAACGAGCCATACTCATATTCCAGGTGGAAATCCTGTGGCTACTGATGCCAGGCTATGTTGTGATAAAGCCTGAAAGGTTCAACTCCAAAGGAAATAACTGAAATTTTGCAATACAAGCCAGAGTTCAGTCTGATTTAATATGTTGGATCAGGACCATAGGGCTTCTTGTTCTTTTCTGGACCTCTACCATATTGTCGATAGCTCCTAAAGAAAATGGAGTAAGGGAAGATGAACTGCATCCTTTTGCAAAGCACAGTGAAAAAATTTAAATGCTACCTAAAACAGAGAGTACAAACTGGTATACAGTGGGCCAGAAAAAAGGTTTTTGTTGGTCTATATGTTTCCCAAAAAGTAGATACTAATATTTTAAAATAAAAATATTGCATATCCAGACTTTCAACTTCACTTGAAAACCTTGAAGCTCTCATATCCTTAGGTTCACATTTGAGCAAGCATGGCAATTATCTAGAAAAGAATAGTGACTGCCCTTTAAAGCAAGGCATGTTTCCTCTAGCCTGTGTTTAATATCCAGCCCTCTTTTTCTTTTAATTTCAATATCTACCTGGCTATTAATGTCTATGAGTTTTTATCCCCCAATCTGGAAACTGAATGTTTTGAAAAGAGAAATGCATTCAGATAACCCAGAAAAGACACTAGTCAAGGCAAGATCTCAGGGAAATCCTCTCTTTACCAATCCCCGTTACCCATCCTCTATCCTATTTCACCTGTCCTCTAGGAGGACCATTTTCGTCCAACAAATGTTTTTGAGCACTTACTATATTCTATGTGCTAGGGATACAGCAGTAAATAAGGCAGGAGAGAGTCCCTGTTCTTATGAAGTTTACATCCTAGTGTGTGTGTGTGTGGGGGGGGGAGACAAGAAGAAAACAAGCATGTAATATGATATCAGATAGTAGTAAATACAATAAACAGAAATAGAGCCAAGTGAGAGGGAAAAGAAGGTGATGGGTAGTCCATCGATGGATGAATGGATCCAGAAAATATGGCATATATACACAATGGAATATTATTCAGCCTTAAAAGAGGAGATTCTGTCATTTGCTACAACATGGATGAACCTATAGGGCATTATGCTAAGTGAAATAAGCCAGAGAGAGAAAGATAAATATTATAGTGCATGGTATCACTTATATGTGGAATCTTAAAAAAAAAGCTGAAGTCACAGAAACAGAGAGGAGAAAAGTGGTTGTCAGGGGATGGACGGTGGGAGAGGAAATAGGGAGAGGTTAGTAAAAGGGTACAAACTTTCAGGCAGATGAATCTGGTCTGAGGATCTAATGTATAATCTGGTGACAGTAGTGGATAACACTGTACTATATAACTGAAATTTGCTGAGAAGGTACAACTTAAATGTTCTTACACACACAGAAATAAAATGTAGATGTGTGAGGTGATTGATGTGTTAATTAACTCAATGTGGGGAGACATTTCACAATGTACACATATATCAAATCATCACGTTGTACACTTAATATATCTATATATCATACAATTTTATTTGTCAGTTTTACCTCAATAAAGCCAAAATTTTTTTTAAAAAAGTGATTGGGTAGTACTATTTTATAAAAAGTGGCCAGGGAAAGGCCTATTGAGTAGGTAATATTTAAGCAGGGACCTGTATGAAAAGAGGGAATGAGTCATGGGAACAGCTAGGGGAAACAGCAGTGTTTCAGGCAGAGGAAATAGCAAGTGCAAAGATCATGAGCCAGGACTGTGCTCGGTGAGCGTGAGAAATAGAAAGGAGGCTAGTGTGTGCAAGGTTTGAGGCAGATTGTGGTAGAAAATGAGATCATAAATGTCTTGAAGGCCATGGCAAAGATTTGGGGTTTCATTCTAACTGTAACAGTGAGGGTTCTGTAATTGGATGGTTCTAATTAGGGAAATAATATGATCTGACCTAGATATTAAAAGGATCACTCCAGATGCTGTGATGAGAATAGACTGTGAGGGGACAAGGGGGAAGCAGGGAGACCGTTCACGGGGCTATTGCAGTGATCCAGGCAATTGATGCTGGTGGCTTAGACTCAGATGATAACAGTGAAGATGGGGAAAGTGCTCAGAGTACATATGTTTTAAAAGTAGAACCATGGAATTTGCTGGTAGACTAGATATAGAGTATGAGCAGAGAAAAGAAGAAGTCAATGATGACTCCAAGGATTTTGGGCCTGAGCAACTGGGAGGATGGTGATGGAGATGAAGAAGGCAACTGGAGGATCAAGTTTATAGGGAGGAGAAATCAGGAATCCTGTGTGGGACAAGTGAAGCTTGATATGCCTGCTAGATATGTCTACTAGTGGAGTTTTTGAATAGTTGCTGAATAGGCAGTTAGGAATACAACTCTGGAGTTTAGGCGAGAAGTCCAAGCTAGAGATATAAATTTGGGAGATGTCAGCATATAAATCGTAAGCAAAACTGAGGTGGAGATGGAATTGAAATCATCTAGGGAGTGAGGGAGAAAAGGGGACCTGAACCCTGGGGAACTCTAATATTTAATGATTAGGAAGATGAGAATTAATATTCGCAGTTATTCATGATTTAGACACATTTCCTTACAGAAGCCATGGGAGGCAGCAATTTTGCAGCGTACCTTGGTTTCTAGTGTCAGATTATTAGAAATTTGAAGGGCTGCTAGTGGTTGCTTTACTTATTAAAGGGAAATGGATTTATTTTAAAACTCAAGGCTATTTCTGTCTCTACTGACTGACTATATGGTAAGACCCCCATTATTTTTCCTCAGAGCAGGCTTTTAATTGTAACACCATACACATTTTGTGCAATTTTTTGTTTCATGTTTGAGCTTTGTCTTTCTTTGCAACCTCACTGCCCTGAAGACTATAAGCCCCCCACAGACTTGGAGATGACTATTCCCTAGTACCTAACACGATGCTTGCTATACATGATCCTCAATAATAAAAGAGAACATTATTCATTTATTAACCAGAATGAGTTCTAAGTGCCTATTAGTGGCCAGACACTGCCCAAGTTGCTGAGGATACAGAGGTGCAGCAGAGTCTGGCTTGGAGGATCTCTAAGCCTAAAATAAGACTGAGATGGACAGGAACAAAGCGATCCTTGCAAGAAGGTATCTGGACATAATCAATGTCTGCCCTTCAAGTAGGTGGACAAGTGGTTGCTTAGTGGATACAAGTTATCCAAATTCCATTTAATAACAAATCTTGTTTGAGCATGGTATATTTCACACCATATCATTATTATTTGAACCTCAAAGTGACTCTACAAGGTAGGTATTTTTACCCCTATTTTATAGATGAGGAAACTAAAGTTTAGGATGTCTAATCAGACAAGTTAGTCCTACTGAAGTAGGTAGCCAAGGCAGTGGCTGAACGGGCATCTCCTGAAGCAGGGTCTCCGAGTTTCACGTTCTATATTAGACTCGCCTATACTTAAATACTCCATTATTTTAAGTTGAAATCAAGTCCAACAGAGTAAGAAATGGTGCTAGAGAGATAAAAGCATTATTCTCAGAATAATGACATTTCCCTGCTTCTCCTAGAACTGCTGGTCAAGGTTATATATTAGGCCTGGTTGGAAAACAGAAATTCCATCTTGGCTACAAGGTACAACTAGTGACCTTGCTGATTGAATCTGTTCTAGCTCTATAGCCTAGACAAAAAGAACACTGATTGAGAACATTTGTTCTGTTACATTTACAAAACCTTTGCCAGATGCACACATACAGAAAGTATTTAGCCTTTTGCAGTAATCAGGAGTTGTTTCAGGGTAAGAGCCAATCTCAGAAGTTGCTCCAGCAGCTGGGATTGTTGTTCCTATGTCTGCTTTTATCTCTATTTGTAAATTTATAGTTTCTTTTCTTTGCTCATTATATACAATTTCCACCCCATATGGAATCAACTCTAGAGAGGGATCTACATAAATGCCAAAGTATTTAAAAATATATGCACCTGCTGAAGGCCTTAAACACCAGGTCATATCATGAAATATTGTTCATGATCTTTATTATAATAATTGTAAATATTATATGATACTATCTATTATTTTTATTTGTATTTTAGTCAGGGAATAAAGAAGTGATTTTGTTTCTCATCCAGTAGTAAAACACCTATTATTTAATTTAAGCAATATAGGACGAAGTGAAATATAGAGAAAATGTTGAATATAAATGCCTATCAAATTTTATGTAACACTTATAACCAAGGTATATTTCATCTCACTGGATTTAACAAATAACAACATTTCATTTCATTTATCCACTTCCTAATGGTATGGAAGATCATAGGAATTTTATGCTAATATCCACAGCAAGAGAGAGATATTTCCTTAAAAAGACAAACTGTTTAATAGACATTTATACTAAATGATAAAATCAGGCCAGGAAACATACCTAACTTCAATAGTTACTTGATAGGTAAACAAACTATAGTAACAGTTATTTAAAAAAATACCCTTTTTACGCAGCAGAACACTTGCATGTTTTCGTCCATTTCGGTTTTCCACATGGCAGGTATAATTTGCCAAGTCAGCCTCCACCACTGAATCAAAGATGAGTGCCAACTCAACTTCTTTTTCTCCAAGATGCTCTTTGAGGAGCCTGAAATAAAGGAAAGTATTCTTGGCTGAATTGGTTTGATTTGGGCAGAGCCCAGCCATGCAAGGACTAAAGACAGTTACGTAGCTTACTAAGGTCTCCAGTGGGCTGGAGAGTCCTGATGGGGTGTATGTGCAGAAACTTGGAAAAGAAAACACAAAAAGTGACTCTTAATGCAAAGATCAGATGGAAAAGGAAAAAAGTGAGGAATTCACTCAGCAAAAAGAAATATTATCATGCCACTAGGCTTTGATAAATGAAGCCAATATGATTTGTGTGGCAAACAGGAGGAGACGTTGGACTCCATATTCTAAGCTGAGCTTATGAAAACAAATTGGATTTTTGCAACACGGCATGAAGGGAAAAATGTCTGTAGAAATGTAGAGTTTATGTCAGAGGCTGGAGTTTTGATAACAGGGGGTAGGATGGTAAAGAAATGGGCCTTGAAAATGACTGCCTTATGAGAATTAAACTAAGGGTGTTTAGTGGCCTTTTATCCCCAAATATCGGTGAGAAGCCTGTTCTCTACTTTCTCCTGCCTTCTGTCCAATGCAGCTATATACCCCTAATCCTCCAATGACCTACCATGGCCCTGCTTTCTCCCAACATTGCTCGCCATTTGTCTTTCTCCTTCCTTCCACACCCTCCCATGCCACTAGGAGGAACTGCCCTATGTGACATTTTCTCATAGTGCTGCCTTTTGCTTTCTCGAGTGAAGTTGCAAAGGTTCTTGAATGGCCAGTAACAGTTGTTCTTCAAAGAGGAGCTGAGTTGCCAGGAACCTTTCCTGAGGAGCGTGCCTCTTGTTTCTCTGGAGAGTTATATTCTTGCCAATGGCCAGCTGCCTCCTGGGTGAGGTGAAAGTAGGTACACTGCCTACTTTTACTTTCTAACTCCTGGTTTTGACCAAAGAAAGAGCAAATTGTGAGTCTAAATAGTGGAAAGCCTGCTGTTAAGTTCTGGGGTGAGGTTGTTAAATACATGAATTTGCAAGATGGAACATTTGGGGCATTTAAAGTAATTCTCATCTCCCTTTTGACACCTGGTTAGGAAGGCAGAGAAGAACATTCAGATTTACTGGCATTTAGCATAAAGTTGGAAAAGACAACTGTACTCAGAGAAAACTGGGTTATAAATATGGGCCTCCCACTTACAAGCTCAAGCTGTATTCTTACAAAGTAATTAACTCAATGGCACCTTAATATAACTCATCTTTAAGTTGGGAAAAATACCTGCCATACTTAACTTTGTTGTGGGGGTAAAATGGGTAAAATGATTTCGAGATTAAATGGCATATGCAAATGCAAATGAATGTTATTAAACACCAACATTTCATTATCCAAAGGTGAACTATTTATAAATTTTGGCTCCTCGAAACATATTTGTATTTATACTTATTGATATTTCAATTTGGTTTGGATTAATCTCTTCTGGCTCCCCTTTAAGAGAAGGAAAGACTTAAAGTTGGGTTGGTGAGAGGGAATTCTTAGAATCTGAGAATCTCCCATACTGAAATCCTAAACCCAGATTATATCCCAAATAGAGATGCTTTTAAAATTAACCCTACTTCTGTTACCTTCCAATAATATACATATCAGAGAGTTGACAATACTGGCATTGGTAACTTGAGTAAGTCTCTTTAGTATAAGAATTTTCTTAACCATATTTCACTGGTAGTCTATTCATTTTTTTCTTCCTGGCTAAACTTGCAGTTTTCCTCTCTTTCTCCTCTCCCAACACACACCTAAACAAGGAAAAATGGGAATTTACTGTCCTAATGGTTTATATTGAATTTTACTCTATTTTCCCCCTGCTATGTGTATATCACACTATACTCAATTCTTTTAGTTCTGTGTGACCTGCTATGGGATAACCCCCTTTAGGCCAGAAGCTGCTTAAGCACCACAAATTAAGTTTGATTTAAAGCTTCACATGTAGGGCAGCCACAGCCTTTGCCAGGCATAAGGCAGAAAGCTGATCCTGTCCCTCCAGACAAAGCCTTTCCCTCTTCATTTCTAATGCAGTTTCCAAAAACAGCTCTTCACAGGCTGCAGAAAGAATCTGGAGAGAGGATTTGAAAAATGATCCTTCATCTATTAATATATATGAGGTGTCCTAATTATCAGCTCTTGAAAATCTAGAGGAGACCTGCTTTTTTGTAATTAAAGAGCAAATTGGTGTTTATGTCTATAAATCATTCTGCAGAGCAGTCACAATTTCCTAGCAAATATTGATATGTAACAATCTATCAATTATTCTTTGTCATTCCCCTGAGTGCCTGGCTCTGGGATAGGTATTTGGTGTAAGAGCAGTATAAGCACTAAAAGACCAGGTGCCTGCTCCCAGTAAGCATTAAAATTTAAACAGGGAGACAAAATCTACACAGCTGAAAAAATTATAGGCGGAATGAAGTAAAACAGGATGGTACAGTCATTCTTACAATGAAATTTCATAAAAGGGAGAGATTATTATTTACTAAATTAGCTGGAGAAGGCTTGAGAAGACTCTGCCTAAACAAAAGGAAGAAGGAAGTGTTTTCTAGGAGGGAAGATAGGAACAGGTTTTTGCAAAATGTTTGAAAGAGAGACACAGAAGGGACTGGTTTTGGATTGGAGGATACAAATAAGGGGGTCTTGGGATATACTTCAAATAACTTCAGAAGTATCTCATTCCAAGGATTAATATTGAAGGCAAGTTATAGGCAACAGTGAACACTGGCAAAATAAAAAATACTAAATTCAGGTGACAGAAATCACTAGTTTCAAAAAGTTTTATTGTTAAGACCTATTATTAAAAAGTAATACTAGAAAATGTTTAGAAGTTGTCACTCTCATCCTTACAAGAGAAAAAGCAAACAAAATAAAAGTCAACAACTTTTCGTAGATCCATCAGAGAATTGAGGTCACAGGGCAAACTCCTGCCCCCTAAATTTGAGATAGCTAGACAAATACTGAGAATCACAGTGTACCAGGAGCAGAAACCCAGGAGCAGGAATCAGTATGAATGAAAACAGTTAAAATGTAATTGATGAGTCACTGTAGGCCCAATATGGACTAGATTGAGAGTTAAAAAAAAAAAAACTCCATGGGATCTAATCTTAGGGGTGCCCCGTACTTTCATGAGTTTTGCTTCCAAGACCCTGTCCAGAGTTTCAGGGTGAAGATCAGAGAATCCTTTATGCTTTTGGCACAGGAAGGGGAAAAGCAACTATCTTGAAATGAGCCCAGAGCACTCTTTCTTCTTAACAAAGGCATGCCCTCAAGTGAAACTCTTTAGCAGAACCTAAATTACTTGGGTTTTACCGAAACTGGGGGAAAATATCCAACTCCAGCATCCTCAAGCCTTCCTGTCTCATCTAAGAAAAGGAGGAAAGCTGAGGAATACTTGTAAAGGTCACAGCCTGAAGATACAGATTCATTGAAAGACTAAGACTTTACCATAGGATTGTAGTATACTTACCACCACACCAATCAAGCTCCTGTATGATTACAAAGGTTTTCAGCTGAAAAACCTGCAAAGCTCAGACCCTATTTAAGAAGCAGTCTCTAGGAAAACTGAAAGAAACAGTGGAGACATAAACAAGTACACTATAGGAAATTTTAGCCTCTTACACCTACGACTACAGAAAACAGTAAACACAGCCTAATTCCTAGCCACATAAACATAAAATCTCACAATAAAGACCTATTTACTTCAGTTTCTTTTATCTGATACATCACATTTGGCTTTCAATCAAGAAATGATAAGGCATGTTAAAAAGAAAAAAAGTCTGAAAAGACAATGCAAGTGTCAGAACCATATTCAGGTATGGCAGAGAATTATCAGAATGGGAATATAAAATAACCATTATTAATATGTTAAAGGCTCAAATGGAAAAAGTGAACAACATAAATCAATAGCTTGGTAGCATAACCAGAGAGATGGAAATTCTAAGAAAGGCTTAGAAGGAAATGCTAGAAATAAAAACACTGTAATAGAAATAAAGAGTGGCTTTCATGGGCCATTAACAGACTGGATGTGGCCAAAGAATCAGTGATCCTGAAGACAATCAACAGAAATTTCCTAAATTGAAACACAAAGAGAAAAAAGCATGGCAAAAAAGGGACAAAACATTGAACACCTGAGGTATAACTACAAAAGGCATAACATACATTTAATCTAAATACCAAAAGAAGAAAGAGAAAGGAACAATAGAAATATATGAAGTAATAATAACTGAGAATTTTCCAAAGATACCAGACCACAGATGCAGAAGTTCAGAGAATACCAAGCAGAGCAAAAATTAGAAAAGTTACACCTTGATGCATCATATTCTAACTGTATAAAGTGAAAAAATGAGAGAAAATATTAAAAGAATTCAGAGGAAAAAACTTACCTATAGAGGAATAAGAATAAGAAATACATCAGACTTCTCTTTAGAAACTATGTAAGCAAGAAGAGAGTGGAGTGAAATATTGAAAGTGTTGAAAGAAAATTACTACCAACCTAGAATACTGTATCCATTTATCCTTCAAATGTGAAGGAAAAATAAAGACTTTTTCAGACAAATAAAAACTGAGGGAATTTGTTGTCAGTAGACCTGTCTTGCAAGAAATGTTAAAAGAACCTCTTAAGAGAAAATGAAAATGATATAGGTCAGAAATTTGGGTCTACATAATGAAAGGAAGAGTGTTAGGGAAGGAATAAATAAAGATAAAATATTTTATTTTTCCTATTCATAATTGATCTAACTGGTAACAGTTTGCTTAAAATAATAATAACAATAAAAGCAGTTATAAGAAGTTCTGAGGATCTAATATACAGCATGGTGACTATAGTTAGTAATGTGTATTGTATACATGAATGTTGCTGAGATTAGATCTTAAGCATTCTCACCACATTAATAAAAGAGTTAACTATGTTAACTATGTGAGCTTAACTATTATAATGGTATATGTCAATTATACCTCAATAAAATAAAATGAGAGTGAAAATGTAACCTGCAGAATGGGAGAAAATATTTG